TATTTCATTGAGCGTTGGCCTTGATGGATCATCTTCATCTCTTTCAGCCATTTCTGGTAATTGAGCATAATACAATTATTCTCTCTTTTGCTTTATTCACAATTTTTCATACTCCTTTAGATGTTTTTATTTATTGATCACTTATTAACTTAGATTTTAATTACTTTATGAATGCAAACCTTTTATGAACTTATTTCTGCTGATGTTTCAAATCCTTGGAAGTACTTCTTTTGTCACAAATGTAATAACTGTTCCAGCTTTATAATTTGCTTCTGGTACCATCTCCAATCATCTACTCATCATAGTTTCTCAACTGTGCTTGTTTACGAAATAATTCTCTATCTAGTCAACACCAAAAACAGTCATCATATCTCACTGTTTGGAGCAATGGTCACCAGTCAAGTCTTTTAATTGAACTAGAGCTCTGTGAAGTTGCAGATAATTCAATCATCCACATATTGTGACAATGTCCATCCTAAGATCTTCTCCCTAAATATTAACTTTTTCTGCATTCTGGTGTATACAGTATTTGCTATTCATCAAGCTACACAAGTACAAACAAGTTTCTACCCTCCTTTGGTAGTTACCTAAAATTAACTCAATAGAAACCAAACCACTTGAAATATTTATCATCCAAAAGAACATATCTTTACATACAATATTAACTTTAGCTGGAAAATCTTCTCCTATTGATTACTCCTAAATCATATTATCAACATTAAGTCTCTTTTATCTGTCTTGATTAACCATTTATTTTAATTATCACATTAACTTCAATTAAATCTTCTTAGTTACTTATAATTTTTTAACTCCATTGAAATTGACTTTAGATAGAAATGTCTAGGACAGATTGCATATTACAGTATCTAGATGTTTCTATTAGTGCTCCTATTTTTCACTTTTCGATAGAGTTTTATACCTAATTCAGCATTTAGTGGTTTTCTTTCTGGACAGATCTTGACTTATCAATTAGAAATTATCAGACCAGAGGTTTTAAATATCAGAAAATAGACTTTATTCTCCATAATAAAGCCGAGAAAGAGCAGAGCAGACCCCAGAGCATTCTGAAGTCTCTCCTGGACACCTTCTGAAGTCTCTCCTGCACCTTCTGAAGTATCTGTGTTTGTTACAATTTTTATACAGGATTATTTGACACACCCCTAAGTCTCTTTTTAACTCTTGACCATTTTTGAATAGGTTTTTAGTCTAAAGGGTCCTGCTATTCTTGGCTCTCAGCCCACTAGCTCATGTCAGCAGAGATGTTACAGGTCTATGTCAGCAAAGTATAGATGCAACTTATGCAAAGGAACTAAGCGTTTACATACATTGTCATGATAGGATAATAACTTGATAATATGTTACTCATTCTAACTTCTGACACATATAGCTTCATAGAAGTATTTAACATATATAATCAGTGCTTTACATATTAAGTTATTCTACACAATCAGTCACTCAGCCTTCTCCTAGTGTTGCTTCTGTGCAGGCACTCTCATCTTACACAGACATATCACTGTATTTTTAACAAAGGCTGGCATGTTTGCTGCAAACACTACATACATTTTGAGAAGAGAAAATTAACTGCTTTACACTTAGAAAATACTTCATACAGAGAGAATAGAAATCTTCTTCAGCAGTCCAACGATCCGTATGTTGTTGCGTCGGCTACGGGATTCAAGATATATGACCTTGGTGAGTAATTTTGAATTACTTTCCATTAGCATTGTGCAAGTCGCTTCGAGAAATTGTGCGCGTTCCTCAAGTGAATTTGCGTAGGTTTCAAGACTGGCGATTTTTGAATTATGCTCTGTCACGGTAGACTGGATTTTATCTAGTTTTACTTCGAGTGCAGAAACTGTGTTTTTAAAGTTTTGCGATAGCCGACATGCTAACTTCCTTGCCCTCGTCTCCGTTCGCCTCCGTTTTCGGTTCGTTTTTGCTCGGTTTGGCTGATTTTGTTGCCATGATTCGAAGTTTAGTTGTGTGCTGTAAAAATGTTGTCCACTTGGAAGCAAATGTAGAGTAAAATGTGGGGTTTAAAGTAAATGAGAAGTAAAAAAGTGTAGGAGCGAGCCTAAACACGTGTCTACTCCATCCCTCCTCCGCCGGAAGACCAACTTTTTATTTCTTTACGGCAAAAGAATTATGCTAGAAATGTTTCTGGATGAGGTATTTATGTGATTTATACATAATAGAGGTATTCTGATCTGTCTTAAAGCATCACAAAATTGTACAGGCATTACAGGTCAAAGCAATCTGTTACATTTATCAAAATAAACATTATTAAAGCACTGCCTTGAGAAATGTAGTGTTGTCAGAAACCAAGTAATTAGTTTTTTTTATTTTATTACTGACAGTGTTCTTGTCTTTTTTGTAAAATTATTTCAGTTTAGGATCAAGAGTAATATAAAATATTGTAAAAAAGCTAAAAAGTATTGTTTAAAAATTGACAAAAAGTGTCTCTATGGCCTTAAAAGTATGTGGTAGTTTTGCCAGTGCTATTAAAAATGATTCATTGTTGTGTACGGAAAAAAAATAGACCATACTTTGTTACAGTTTTTTTTTGGATTGCTTAAGCACGATTTTCAAAACAGGGCCCTTGTTATCAAAACAGTACACACAATTAGCACAACCACACACCCAATTAGCAAAACATTACAGATCCTTTGCATAATTAAACACTCTTATAAAAACTATAGACTTATGTTTAAAAACCACACTTTTTTACCATAAGAAACACACATTTTCACATTTACTATACACTGTTTGCACGAGTTACACACTGCTGTGATAAACCTAAAACACTTTTAGCACTTCTACTTCCTTATGATTAGAGTAGGCTACCATCAACAAAGTACAAATATAAAGTAAATTTACCAAACACTACTCAAGAGCAATGCTGCACACTGAATAAACTCATTTATTCCTCAACATGTCCAACATGTTGGCATGAGGATTCAAAGTACTGTAACATGTCACTTTACGTATTGAACTGTAAGTTAGACACTGTCTCTTTGCCTAGATGAATCTGGCATGAGAATTATCAACATTGCAATGTTGTCCTTAGCAAGACACCTTGGAAAGAAGTGTCTTGAATGTAAAATCTTGTATTGCTGCTACCTCCATTTGGTCACAGGCCTCCTCCATGGCTTGTATGAGGGGTACCTCAGCCTGAAGATGGAGATCATATACCATCCACCACTATGCCGAGAAAAACTCTTCTATAGGGTTGAGGAATGGAGATATGCTGGAAGATATAGGAAAGTGAAATGTGGATGTTGCTGAAACCAGTGCTGAACCAGAGCAGAACGATGGAAAGACACATTGTCCCAGACAACAATGTATTGCGTATGATCGATTTGATTTGCTGCTGTTATGTTGTGCAATTGGTCCCAGAATGTAAGTATATGTGCTGTGTTGTAAGGGCCCATATGGGCATGGCAGTGGAGGACCCCATTCTTTGTAATGGCTGCACAGAGTGTTACTGTATATTTCCCCCACGTTGCACTGGGACATTGACTATAGCCCTGTGGCCAATGATTTCTTCTACCTTGTGTTCTCGTCAGGTTGAACACACCATCATCTACGTAAATGAACTCATGCTGGATCTCCTCTCCATCCATTCGTAAAACTACCTGAAGAACAGTGTCAGGCAAAATTGTGTAGTTCAGTGTAGATCTAGTATTACAGTACAGTAAAAGAATATAAGACAGTATGCAAGATCACACTGCTAAAGTGAATACATACCTCTGTATACTCATGCCGCAGTCTTTTCACCCTTTCAAAATTGTGCTCGAAAGGCACTCCATAAATTTGCTTCATTTGAATATGTTTTTTTTTTATGGTGTGTGCCAGAGTTGATATTGAGACCAGATGGTTTTCATTGAAACTGGCATTTTATAGTGCTTAAACACCTGATTGATGTGTCTACAATTAATCTAACAAGTGTTTGCACACCTGACGACTGTGTTGAACAAGTTGGTTGGACGGTGCAGTAATTTGACTGTCCGTGCTTTGGTATTGCAAGGAAGTGACTTCATGATAGATTTTAGTGTGTAATGTATGTTAAGTGTGTTTAGTGTTTTGCAAATCACTGTGTGTAGAGTTTTGCAACAAGTGTGAGGCTGACAATGTGCTTATAGTTGTGCAAATATGGGCTGATGTTTTGATACTTGTGTGTAAGGTTTTGCTAATAGTGTACTACTTTTAATTTTAGTGTGTAAGCAATCCTAAAAAACTAATACATTTAATCAGACATTTCAGCACAATGCTCTTGCTGTAACACTGAGCCTGAAAGTCTTCTACATCTACTTGTACATTCTCTGATGATTTCTGGAAACAGGTTTCAGGGTTGATTTCTGATTCATTTTACAGCATAATTAATTTTGAGGAGTGCATGATTCTTCTTCTGAGTTGTAAATCTATGATGTGCTTGATAATGCTCTGAAGTTGATCATTTTTACAAAAATCAAAGTCTCTTACTCCCTCCTTTAATTTGTTCTGTAGAGATTTACAAACCTTTTATAATTCGTTGACCTCAATTAAAAAAACAAGACAGCTTTAAAAACCTATCTGATAATGAAGACAATTATCTGTACAATCTAATCATTTAAATATGATAGATCCCCCTGTTGAAAAATCCAGCTTAAACCAGCCTAGGCTGGTTGGCTGGTTTTAGCTGGTTGACCAGGCTGGTTTTAGAGGGGTTTGGGCCATTTCCAGCCTGGTTTCCAGCCATTTCCAGCCTGATCTTAGCTGGTCAGGCTGGAAAATGACCTGCCAAATCCAGCTAAAACCAGCTTGACCAGCCTGGTTTAAGCTGGATATAGCTGGTCTTGGCTGCTCAAGCTGGTTTTAGCTGGTCATCTCCCAGCCTGACCAGCTAAGACCAGGCTGGAAATGGCTGGAAACCAGCCTGGAAGTGGTCAAAACCCCTCTAAAACCAGCCTGGTCGACCAGCTAAAACCAGCCAACCAGCCTAGGCTGGTTGAAGCTGGATTTTTCAGCAGGGCCCTCATATGTGTGATTTTCTTTTGTTTACTGTGTGTTCTGCATCTCTCAGTTTTGTATGATTGTTACATATGTTATGTTATCATATAATCCTGTGTGCTTGTCAGTTATATGCTTCATAATATCTCTAATGTTGGAGTAGGACTGATGTTACTCTCTCCAGTACAGCAGGTGGCGGTGTGCAGCTTTCCTCTGCTCTCTGACTCAACACACGGGCAGAAGAAGAAGTGGTGTGTGTCGTGTTTACAGTCCGCCTCGCGTCCGTTTACACTGCTTCATTTAAAGTCCCGCATGTATCCTCCTGCATGTCGTGTGATTGAATGTAACCCCCGCATGTCCCTGTCTGCTCTGTTCAGAGTGTTTGTGCGGGTGTATTACTAAACTCCTGATGTGACGCAGTTGAGATTAAATCTGTGATCTGGAGTCGCTGTTCAGTAAATCAAAGTTCTCCAATATATTTCCTATGATGATGTCTGCTGAATCCCGCATTTAAAACACGCTTTACAGCACCGCTCGACGCGGATCGCTTGATTTTAGTGTCTGCGCGTTCACAGTCGCGTGCATAAGCGGCCAAGGGCGTTCCCGAGTGAATATTTCGCGGAACAGCGCCCCCCGGTCACAGTTTTTGGCACAACACCGCCCTTCAGAAACGAAAGTGAAAGTAGTTGTTGTGTTGCAGTTTTAAACAACCAGAATTCATCATCTACTAACAGAGAACAGCTTTAAATCTTTGATGTCTTGACAAAACCTGTAAGCTTTATGTGAATGTGTATATGCTGTTATTATAATCAAACGGATGACGCTGTGATTCTTCATTAGTTTACTCGTGATGAGCTTCTGGATTTTAGTGTCTCAGCTGCTGATCTATTCTGGCATTCAGCTGAATTATGAAAGCTGATCAATGACTGGAGATCTGTGATTATTCATTAGTTTCTTCTAGAGTTTCTGCTGGAGATCAAACTCTTCAGGTCCATCATGGAGGACACACACACCCCCGAAGAGCAGGATTTGTTAGCAGGATGCAGGTATTAGACCTACACTTGACATTTCATATGATTATTTTCTACAGGATATTATATTTACTCTCTGTTAGTTGTGTTTTTAATTTGTCTGAATATTTAACACACAGCCAGCAAGATTTTTATACAATAATTATGAAAAGTATCATAAAGTGCTGTTTAAACAGTGAGAGGGTGCTCGCTGCAGAGCCATTTGAGGAGAGCTGAGCTCCAGCAAGGGGGAGCATGAGCTGTTGCTCCTCCTCCTGTAAGCTGTTTTAATGCATACACCAACCCCACCCCTAACCCTACCCCCAGTGACATCACTCGTAGAAGAAGTGCAAAAAAGGTGGAGCTCAAGCTTAAGCTCCCCCTTGCTGGAGCTCAGCTCTCCTCAAATGGCTCTGCAGCGAGCACCACTTGAATAAATCTGGTGTGTTGACTCCAGTGTGTGCAGCGCTGAACTTTAATCTTTTCTGTTTTAGTTCAGTTCATAAGAAGAGAGCAGAAGCAGAGCCCAGCTGTGTGTCTATGAAGAGTGATGCGTCCATGGATCACCCAGTAAATCTTAAGAGTGAAAACACAGGACCTGCTGTCAGGTAGATCATCTCTTTAATATCTGCAACTGATGAGTATTTTCATAATAAATGAATCAGGTAATTAGTGTTGTGGATCTGTTGGGTTTCAGATGTTAGATGTTGTATCTGAGCTCTGCAGGATGCTTGAAGATCTCCGCTTTACACTTCAGGCCACAATTGATGGTGTTAACAAACCAATCGGCGCTTTATTAATAGTTAGTGAGGTAGAAGGTGGGTTTAGGTTTTGGGTAGGGTTAGGGATCCACAATAAGATCATACTGTATGACTACTAATGAGCAGTTCATATGTTCACATTACACAGATAATAAGCCGGTAGTTAATAGTATGAATTGTGAGCTAAACTAAAGTGTTCCCGATCTCCTGCCATAAAGGGCTTTTCCTGCACACTTTCCCCTGCTGTTTCTGTGCTGTACTGATCAGCCATTCCTCTGATCTGAGTCTGTTTTCACTGAAGTGCAGTCATCATCATGTTGTGTTGGCCTCATAGATGCTGCTGATCAACACATTTGGTTTCTAGAATTGATGTTTCTCGAGTTCTGCTGCTCATTCAGTCATGATAGATGATGGTAAATGAACTTGTCTTGCTGTCCTTAAAGTTTGGACTGGAACTCTGCAGACAAACCCCCAATGAGTGACCTTCTGAAGACTGAGTGATGAGGAGGAGGATAAGAGGAGCTGCTGGAGGCGGGAATAACAGTCAGCTGACACAGTGCAGTTTATACTGCTGCTTATATAGTCATGTGATGATGATTGACACGCCTGCATGATTAAGCTCCTCCCACACCTACACTGTGGACTTCATTCAGTGATTTGATGATTAGTTTCAGCTCTAATCTGCTCTAATAGTGCTGCATTGCTGCTGGACTTTCTCTACTAGAAATGAGCCTTGATCTGTGTTTGCTGATATTTTCCACATTCAGACAGTTTCTGTTCAAATATAAAGGGAATTAATTTAAGTGTTTTTGTAAATGAAGAATGATTAATATCAGGTTTGTGCAGTGTGTGCAGCGCTCAACTTTAATCTTCTCTGTTTTAGCTCAGTTCATCAGAAGAGAGCAGAAGCAGAGCCCAGCTGTGTGTCTATGAAGAGTGACGTGTCTATGGATCCACCATTAACATTTAAGAATGAAAACACACGACCTGCTGTCAGGTAGATCATCTCTACACACACATGATTACACTGAAGCATTTATATGATCCTGTGTTTCTAGAAGATCAGAAAAACAAGTATTACATTTACAGGAGACTTTAAAACTAAATGTCCACACACTCACATCTGATCATTAGTGAAGTACTAATAAAGTATTTATACTCAAACTGTTAGAGTTAGTAGAGTGAGTTTACAGGCTTTTACAAAAGTCAGCAAAGTGTGGATAATCAAGAGAAAGATTTTAGACAAGATGAATGAACAAGTTCTCTGAGACAAACACACCACACAGTCTTTATTGTAACAGAGGCCAGCGAGTAAGTGCTGTGCAGGTAAACCTCACTTCTGACCTCTAAAGGTGCTCTAGTGACAAATACTAGAGGTCATGGTCTTTAGCCTCCTTCATAGAGCAACCGACTCCCATGCGGAAGGTTGCCGGTTGGATCCCAGCTCGGAGTGTGTTGGGTGGTGTAGGACCGGCAGTGTTACACTTGTGCTCTCTCACATTTTCATCCTACAAGATTTTAAATGTCTTCAGTGAGCATCCAGCATCATTGTGAATGAAGGATATCAAATGATTAAAGTGTTAGATTTAATAAATGACAAGTACTATTAAATGTTTACAGCATTTTGAGCAGTAGATGTGATCTAATTAAGTCTGTAAATTGTGTCTCAGCTTGTCATAGAGAACACACATGGCTTCACTAGATGATCTTTACACTTGCACTCATTGGTTCTTTGTGTTGTTGTTGATCCTGCAGTGTGGATGGAGATGATCAGACTGGAGACCTGCAGCAGGATTCACTCCAACCAGAACATGATGAACTTCAGAGAGTCAAAGAGCAGCACAAAACCAGCATGAAGAACAAGTATGAGAGATTATTTGAGGGAATCAACCATGGAGAGACTCAAACCCTCCTGAACAGGATCTACACACAGCTCTACATCATAGAAGGAGAGAGTGAAGGAGTGAATGAAGAACATGAGGTTTTACAGATGGAGAAAAGAGCCAGAACAAAACCCTCACAACACACTCCAGTCTACTGCAATGACATCTTTAAAGCCTCAGCTGGAGCAGGACATGAGGAGAAGATCAAGAAGGAGAAAGCCCAGATCAAGACTGTTCTCACTAAAGGCATCGCTGGAATCGGGAAAACCGTCTCTGTGCAGAAGTTCATTCTGGACTGGGCCGAGGGAAAAGACCATCAGGATGTAGATTTCATGTTTGTGCTTTCATTTCGAGAGCTGAACTTGATCAGAGATCATCAGTACAGTCTTCACAGACTTCTGCTGGACTTTCATCCTGAACTTGAAGATCTGGAGCCCAAGATTTATGAGCAGTGTAGAGTTGTGTTCATCTTTGATGGTCTGGATGAAAGCAGAATCACACTCAACTTTTCAGATGAGGAGAAAGTTTGTGCTGTGACTGAATCTTCATCAGTGGCTGTGTTGATGCGGAGCCTCCTGAAAGGAGATCTGCTTCCCTCTGCTCTCATCTGGATCACCTCCAGACCACCAGCAGCCCATCAGATCCCCTCCAGATACATCAAGCGTCTGACAGAAATTCAGGGATTCACTGAGCCTCAGAAGGAGGAATATTTCAGGAAGAGAATCAGCGACGAGCATCAAGCCAGCAGAATCATCTCCCACATCAGAAGAGCAAGAAGCCTCCAGATCATGTGCCACATACCCGTCTTCTGCTGGATCTCCTCCACTGTGCTTCAGAAGCTCCTGGAAGAAGATGTGAGTGCAGAAATCCCTCAAACTCTGACTGAGATGTACATCCACTTCCTGCTGATTCAGATCAACACAAGGAAGCAGAAGTATGAAGAGAGAGATCCAGAGAAACTCCTGCAGTCCAACAGAGGAGTAATCCTCAAACTTGCTGAAGTGGCTTTCAGACAGCTGATGGAGGGCAATGTGATGTTCTATGAGGAGGACCTGATTGAGAGCGGCATAGACGTCACTGACGCCTCAGTGTATTCTGGGATCTGCACTGAGATCTTCAAGGAGGAATCTGTAATTCATCAGAGGAAAGTCTACAGCTTCATCCATCTCAGCTTTCAGGAGTTTCTGGCTGCTTTCTTTGTGCTTTACTGCCATTTAACAGAGAACAGAGAACCGCTGAGGGTGATTTATGAGAGAGAATATTCATATGATCAATATCTACAGTCCAGCTCTGAGAAGTCTCTGTATGATTTGCTCAGTTCAGCAGTAGATAAAGCTGTCAGGAGTAGTAATGGTCGTCTGGATCTGTTCCTGCGGTTCCTGCTGGGCATCTCACTGGAGTCCAATCAGAGACTCTTCCAGAATCTGCTGACACACACAGAGAAGAGCTCAGAGAGCATCAGGAGAATCACACAGGACATTAAAGATGGGATTAAGACAGATGATGATCTCTCAGCTGAAAGATCCATCAATCTGTTCCTCTGTCTGCTGGAGGTGAAAGATCAGACTCTGGCCAGAGAGATTCAGGAGTTTGTGAAATCAGACAAACACTCAGTGAAGTATCTCTCTCCTGCTCATTGCTCAACAATCTCCTACATGATTGAGATGTCAGAGGAGCTGCTGTATGAGTTAGACTTTAATAAATTCAACACATCAGATGAGGGAAGACGGAGACTGACAGCAGCTGTGAGAAACTGCAGAAGAGCTCTGTGAGTATTCATTGATTGATCACAGAAGACACACATCAGTCTGCACTGAAGACTCAAATCAGTTTAGTGAATCACTGCCCTGCTTTAACAGAAAATCTTTAGCTGGCCATATCGTCCCCCTGTGAGATCGCTGATACACCATATTACTGCATGGGGACGCGGCGGCAGTGTTCTGTTTGCTTATTTGCTCGTTTATTTAATAATTTCTAAACGTATTTATCAAACCTTTCTTGACTTTTTACTCACACAAACAACATTTGTACTTATTTAATAATCTACTTCATTTGCTTTACATTTTATCCTGGAAAATAACTCAAATCCCTGCAAATCCCTGTGCTCCTCCAGCTGAATAGGACATTTGTTGATGTGTATTTGCTCAAATCTAACACAGTGTTGCTCTTGGATAATTGTGTTTGTTTTCTGATCAGAGAAATAGTGTAATTTTAGACACAGTATTGCCGTCTCGCCGCAGACATGCCTCTAATATTATATTTACTGTAGACCTAAACACTAAACTTTACACTGAGCTCAGTAAAATCCTCTCTGATTAGTTATTAATAATCTGTTCAATAATTCATTACAGTCATATGAATGGGGAATACAGGTTTAGTTTAATGTAGTTTCAATCAATCAATCAATAAAAATAATATATTTTCTTTTTATGAGGGTATGAGGGTGGTATGAGGGCTCGATGTCCACAGGTGGGGGTTGCAGCCCAACACCATGGTACAACACCATGAGGTAGCCTGACTGCCATTAGGTACTGAGATGACATCCTCAGACCCCTTGTGAGACCATATGCCGGTGTGTTTGGCATTTCATTCATTCAGATCTAGGATGTGTTATTTTAGTGTTCCCTTTATTGTTTGAGCAGTATATATATATATATATATATATATATATATATATATATATATATATATATATATATATATATATATATATATATATATATATATATATATATATATATATAGTTTATTTCCAGTGTTACTTTTATCACTGTAGACTGGACTCATGAACACTCAACACTGCTCATTTCTTACTGCTGATTTTGTTGCTCTTTGTCGTCTACAAAGGCTACAGAGGTGTATACTCACTGTTCAGTGCTGTGAGAGTTTGTCTTCAGCTCTACAATCCTCAAACTGTGTGCTGAGAGAGCTGGACCTGAGTAACAATGACCTGCAGGATTCAGGAGTGAAGCTTCTCTCTGATAGACTGAAGAGTCAACACTGTAAACTGGAGACACTGAGGTAAAATAAAAACATTTCCATCAAATAAATGCTACCACAAATGACTTTTACATTGTGAAATGTTGTAAAGTCTGATGAGGTAATGAGCATATGCTGTAATGTTCAGATGTTCAGCCCATCACTGAGTCTCTTTATTTACTGATGTTAATGTGTGTAAAGTTATATTCAGTCAGTTTTATATTAATTTCAGGAATATTATTGACTAATATAAACATGTTCATGTGATTTATTTACAATACAGTTTTTACAGTCATATTTTCTGTCTGTTTATATTATATGAGAGACTTGCTTTGTTTAACAAATTTGTGGATCTGAATGGATTTGCATTGTAAACATTAAATAACAGTTATAAAGTTTTATTTATTTTAAATAATAGGTTTTTGTTATGATTGTTACTCTTTTAAATCATTCTGCTTAAATCTGCAGATTTTTTTTTTTTCTTTACAAAATTCTGCTCAGAAATAGCAAAATTAATCTGTCTGGCTGACTCATTTTGGTCCAGAGATCTTTTCTTTAAAAAAGTTTATGTTATAATAAAATACAAATGTTTGATCTTCCTCCATGGGACCATTAAAGCAACTCTGAATAGTTAGAGTTAGAGTCTTTTCCTTTTCCTATGAGGAGAAATCACTCCTCCTTTTACTGTCCTCTACACAGGCTACAGGGCTGTAATCTCACTGTTCAGTGCTGTGAGAGTTTGTCTTCAGCTCTACAATCCTCAAACTGTGTCCTGAAAGAGCTGGACCTGAGTAACAATGACCTGCAGGATTCAGGAGTGAAGCTTCTCTCTGATGGACTGAAGAGTCAACACTGTAAACTGGACACACTGAGGTAAATGATTCTCCACTCAACAACATTAAAAAGTGTTTTGATTGAGATGGAAATGTCCAGATATATTTAAGAGCATTAGTGGAGAAACTGCAAAATGCTGCTCTTCAAATGAAAGTTTTTTTCTTAAACAGTTCAGAAATCAGTGTATTTTAATGATTATTTTAATCAATTACCTCTAAATCTTTATTTATATTTTATATTTTTAATGATTATATTTCTAGTTTATCTGTGAATTGGTTTATTGGAGCAGGTTTGACAGGCTCTGATCATTTGCATTTTGCAGGTTTATAAATATATAAAGTCTCGTGGTCCTCTTATCTGAACTCAAATTTAGCAGTTTTCTTACATTTCAAAGTATTCAAGAACAAATTAGTTGGCATTTAATATTCAGTTTTATTAAATAGCAATAGTCAGTCATTCTAACTGATACAAGTTTTTGTCATATTATTTACCTCATAGTTTGTTTTTACATCAGATGAATGACTGAAATCACACTGTTAATGTAATCTGTGTTCTTCTTTTTCAGACTGGTCAAGTGTAATCTCACTGTTCAGTGCTGTGAGAGTTTGTCTTCAGCTCTACAATCCTTAAACTGTGTCCTGAGAGAGCTGGACCTGAGTAACAATGACCTGCAGGATTCAGGAGTGAAGCTTCTCTCTGATGGACTGAAGAGTCAACACTGTAAACTGGAGACACTGAGGTAAATGATTCTCCACTCAACAGATACAGTTTCATATTGGGTTACAGAATGTGGAGCCTCTTTCAGTGGATTGGCAGAAGAAGAAACAAAACATTTACAGGGATTTGATTTCAATCATATCTATACTAATAATAGTAATAACATACTAATGTATGTTTATCTATAAAAATATATTTAAAATCATTACTATATATAGTATATTGCGAAATGTTGCATGTTCAAAGCTTTTCTTTTTCCAATATACTCAAATGTGACTTATAGTTAAAAGAATCAGTTTATTTTAAAAAAAAAACAACATTTTAATAAAATTAATTATTCACATTTTATTTTTGGGTCATGAATATTTATGTTTCTCACCTGACAGAATAAACAGAGTGCCCCGCAGGGTCTTAAAAGCATTGAAAAACTCTTAAATTTGATAATCTTAAATTAAGACCTTAAAAGCCTTGAATTTCATATATCAAGTCTTAGATTTGTTACGAAGGTCTTAATTTTTTAATTTATTTTTGCCTTTCCCATGATTAAACATCATACTGTAACAAAGTTAACTGTTACTAATGTAGGCTAATTAAAAAATTAATGCAGCGTAACTTTGAGTGCATCTCGCGCTCCATGTCATAGCAGAAAGTGCGTCGCCATAGCTTACTTTGGCAAGCAAGAGTATTTACAGCGCTCCAACTACTTAAAAACTACTTAAAGACTGTGCTCAATTTCACTGCATGTGTCTTCTGGACAGTCTTTCATTGACACTTACAGCAGAAGCTCCTATTTCACTGCGATTGAGAGAATGAAACTAAACTATTTCTCTCTCTTCCACTGTGGCCCGTTTGACCTGCTGGCATGACTTTTCCTCTCCTCTCGGCTGTTACAGTGATTCTTCTGGATAGAGGTCGCTCTGGTTACTAAAGTAACCCTCATTCAAAGAGGAGGGGAACAGAAATGCTATTAGTGGATTTATTTATTAATCCACGAATGGGGATTTCGTTTCAGAAAGCTAATCGTCTGAAAGAGGATATAACGGGCCAATGAAATGCCAATGAATTGGCAGCGTAAGCTTGCGCACGTGTGCCTTATTGCCAATTAGCTTCACATATAAGGACTGGGAAAGCAAGGAAACGCCATTTTTTTAAGCTGAAGAGACTGACACTTACAGCTAAGGAACAATCATTATGGCGATGCTATAAAGCATTTCTGTTCCCCTCCTCGTGGAACGAGGGTTACTTTAGTAACCAGAGCGTTCCCCTTCGGATGGGGAACTTCAATGCTATTAGTGGATTTATTTATTAATCCACGAATGGGGAAATGTCTGGAAAACGCCATAATGACTGCACCTTACCTTCGCTTCCGATGAGAGGATAGCCAGGCATAGCGTTAGCACTCCAGCATCAAAGAGAGGCGTGGTCCTCCAACGTGATCCCTGGCCCTTATCCCACTTCAAAAGAAGTTTTACGGATTTAGATATATTTTTTGGGAGTCGCAAGATAATAGATAATTTAGATAATTCTAGGAAAATATGACAGTACATTGGGAAAGCGTGCATTCCTGATAGGGAGGACGCTGCGGAGGCCATCTGCTACCCAATGGGGAGATATGATGGCAAAAATATATGGACTAGCCCTGAAAAGGGGGAGTACGCATAAAATAAGATGGTTAGCAGAGAGGGAAGACACGGGTCCGCCCATGAGGGGGGACTGCACCATGGCTGAATAAGCATATGGGATCGCCAAGTGGGGATCACGCATAGCGTGCACCTATACCCAAAACGTGTGCTGACCAGTGGGCCAGCAAGTAACTCCTCCGTTTAGTCAGTGCTTGGGGCCTCGGAGGAATCTGCAGTGCTCACCTGACGGGGAATTTTACTGACAGATAAAAAAGCGCACGTATCTCCGTGTTAGGGAGAATGGCACAGCAAGCGTGTTTCCACACCCTTCCGAGTTTTAATTACCAAGAGTTTCCTCAATTACCAAGGGTTACCTAATACCCTTGAGGAAACCGGCTCCACTCGCAGATTGTAAAACCTTACAAATGTATTAGGTGTCGCCCAGCCCACAGCTCTACAGATGTCTGTTAGATAGGCGCCGCGTGCACACGCCCAAGAGGATGCGATGCTCCGAGTGGAGTGCGCATGCACTCTCGGGGGACACTGCTCGCCCTGGCTCTGATAAGCGAGGGGGATGGCATCCACTATCCAGTGGGCCAACCTCTGTTTTGATACGGCAC